GACTGGGTCCCCCTCAGTTCTCTTCTTGCTTCCAGGGGCTGGGAAGAACTGGTCCCCTTCCACAATAGCCATCAGACTTTGGCTTGGGACAGAGGTCTGTTGGTGCTGGTCCCAGTGTCAAGATCTCTGGTCACTCCAACCCTGGGCTGCTGTCCTGGCCAACTGAGCTCAGGTTCCAACTTTCTGGGACATTCTGCCCAGTTAGAGGGCCCAGGTGAAGGATGGGGGTGGAGGGCACTCCTTCCTGCTTTCCTGGCTCAATGCCTTTGCACACAGTGCATCCTTTGTATTTTCTTTCCTACCTCTGGGACTGAACATAAACCATCTGGACTGGCCTGGGTGCAGTGGCCACCTGGGCTCAGGTCTTGGTTCTGCTGTACATCGTGCCTCTAGCCCAGCAGTAGAGGGTTATGTTTGCAGGGAGGAGGTGGGAAAACAGTGCCAGCTCTCTTGCCTGTATCACCTCTGTGCTGGGTGGCATGCTCAGCCCTGAGCAGACTTCTGCCATAGAATCCTAAAGCAGCCTCATGGGCAGGGACCCCTCTCAGCCCCATTTCCCAGATTACATACTCCCGGAGGCTGAAGACCTGCCCAAGTCATGCCATTAACTGGTGATCAAATAATGTTTGAAGTTGGGGGGGGGGGAGGTGGCAGGTGTGTTCCCAAGCCTCCTCCCTCAACTTCCCCCATGCTCTCTTGCCAGATGGTTACTCTGGGTCCCGGTGCCTGGTCATCCTGCCTAGTATTGTGAAGACTCACCTGAGTCATGACTGGGCCCTCCCTGTGCTGGCACTTCTGACTCTCTGAGACTCCTGAAGTGTGGTGGGGGGTGGGGGGAGGAGGGAATAAGTGTTGAATGGAGAAAAGAATGAATGAGGCTGCAGAGAGGTGGTGAGCTCAGACGTGGTGTGGGAGGCTGGGAGTTTGGCAGTTGCTAAAAGGGCATCACCCAAAGGAGGCAGGCAGGAGGAGGTCTGGCTTGCTTTCTTCAGTTCCCTCGGGCAGAACAACCCCCACCTCTCCGTCTCCCACCCTATTTAGGAGGGGCCCTGATCATTTGCAATCTTAAAATGTACAGCGAAATCTCCAGGCGATATTGTTAGTACATTAATCAGGCAATCAGCGGGGCAGGGCTCCCAAGAGCTGCATGGCAGGGGCATAGGGAAAGCTATGGCAGTAGGGTGCTGGCCGCCTCCAAGTGAAGACACCAGAAGGGTGACAATCTAGATCCTGGTTCAGGTAGGGGAGACAGAAGTAGGTGAGGATGGCTAGAGCATTGAGTCCAGAGTCTCAAAGACACCAGCTACCAGGGCAGGGAAGCACTTAGCGGAGAGCCCCCTGCCCACAAATGGAGGGGCAGGGGGATCTGGCACAGACACGGGCATCTGAACAGTATTAGAGGGCAGAGAGCAGCTGCCTTGGGCTCAGATCCCAGCAGCCCCCACCTGCTTCTGGAGGAGCCTTTCACTGTCCTCTGGCCTTTGGATGGAAGCCACTGCAACATATGGTCCCTGTGGCCTTGTTGCCCCAGACCCTAACAACATAACACCATGTTCTTTCTTGGGATAATAGGGAACAAGAGTTTGGCCCTTGCACCAAGACTTGGCTAGGGTCCCTTGTCCTCTTGTGGCCTTCTGAGAGGAAGGGCAGGGGCCTTCCCTCTGTCCTGCCTTTGGACCCTTGCCTCTTGTAAATGCTATAGTGCATTCACAAGATTTTCTGGTTGGTTTTTTTTGTTGTTTGTTTACTAAACTGAGTCCCTGATCTCCCTTTTCCTGTATATTGGCATCCCCTGGAGGTACCTGCTTTCTGTCTGAGGGGTACAACTTTCCATGGGCCCCTAACTTCTCCTGGGGGCCTTACAGAGACAGAGCAATACCAAAGGTGGGAAAGGGCCGCTCCCTCTCTAAGGATCAGAGGAGCACACGCAGAAGCCCTCTGTAAACTCCAGTGAGCTGTACAAATGTCGAGTGGGATTAGTGCTAAGCCTGCCACAGCCCCCCTTCCCACAGCTGCAGACTGAGGGAAGGAAATTCCTTTGTGTACACAGGACCACCAGCGTAAGGCCTACCATGTCCCCTTAAGCACAGTGAACACCAGGAATGCCCTTGAACCAGGAGCCTGGGCTCTCTCCGAGTGTCTAGGAGAGGGTTACACCTCGCCTCCGGGAAGGTGAGACTTTCCTAAAAGAAAGCAACCTGGGCAGGGAGGGGTATAAGCTGAGATTGGAGGCTCAGCCCTATGAAAGGGGTAGTCAGTGGGGTTGGACACTCCCAGACTGCATGTGGAGGCTGAAAGGCCCAGGCAGGCTCCCTTTGGGCTGACAGGGATTTGGAATTTAGGCTCCTACTGCATCCTGTCCTTGCCTTTCCTCCAGGGCTGGGACCCCTGGACAAATGGAGGTGAGAAGTAGGGACTGGAAGCCACACACAGGTTTCCAAGGGACAGGCTGGCAGACATCTCCTAGGCATGTTCTGAAGGTGGCCATAGACTTGGCCTAAACAGTAGGCTGTGCAGCAGCTGGGTGACTGAAGGCCCTGCGGAGGCCACAGAGAGCCTGACCTGGCTCAGAAACGGTCCTGTGCTGTGCTGCCACCACCACCAAGGTCATAATTGCTCTGAAATCACAACTGAACCCAATTATGCAAAAACTAAATTATGTGCAATGATTTTTATGTGCTGGAAACGCTGGGTAGACGCTGGGTGATTACAGGGGGGGACGGGAAGCAGCTGCCACTCTCTGGGAGCCCCTAACTCCCAACAGCTGGGAGCTGTCACTTATTTATGATGCTGTTTCTGCTAGGAACAAGGGGGTAGTAGTGGCGATAAGACCTGCTCAGCCAGGATCCAGGGCAGTAGTTGTCCTGGAAGCCCAGGTGGTGGGTGGGGGAGGTGGCCAGGAGGGTGGCGTCTCTCATTATAAATACTCTGAACACAGCTGGCAGGAAGAAGACTCAGCTGAGCTGCCCAGGGCGCCTTAGCTATCCCAAGAGGCCTGGCTGAACAAGCCACCAGATAAGGGGCAAGAGGCCAACATAGCCAGGGGGAGGTGGCTGCCCAGCTCTCCGGGGTGGGTGTCGGTAGGCCTGGAGCCTGTCCTCTCCGCCCTGGCGCGTCTGCTGGGCTGCTTGGGGCAGCTGTGACCCTGGAAAAAGGCAGGTAATGACGATCGTCTGTAATGAGGCTACTCAGATAATGAGCGTGGGGCTATTACCCGACCACAGGCTGGACACATCCGAAAATAAATTATTTTAAGGATCCATTAACGAATGCCTAATTAATGCCCAATTAGAGGGAAGCTACAGAGGAAATGCTCTGGACAATCAAGAGCCAAGGCCTGGTTTTGCAGCTTCAGCCTGGGAGCTCAAGTGAGATGGGGAGGGGGAGGGCAGAAGGTGGGCTGGGATGGGGGATGCTCCATCTGGCAGTTTCATGGACCCCCAGAACAGGTCCATTCATCAGCCCTGGTGCCCACACTATCCCCTCAACGACTTGTGCCCTCCCCCATACAACTGTCCAGCTGAAAGTTACTGCTATGTGGATTTTAGAAATGAAGAAACTGAAGTACAGAAAGGGTGTTGCATATTTGAAGATATAGATGACAATGTAAATGAGATTTCTTTTCTTTTTTGTCAGTCCTGTGGCTTGAACTCAGGGCCTGGCCACTGTCCCTGAGCTTCTTTTGCTCAAGGTTAGCACTCTACCACTTGAGCCACAGAACCACTTCTGGTTTTTTTTGTGTGTCTGTGTATTTGGTACTGAGGAATAGAACCCAGGGCTTCATGCATGCTAGGGAAGCACTCTACCACGAAGCCACATTCCCAGCCCTAAATGAGACTTCTTTTTTTTTTGGTCCAGTCATGGGGCCTGAACTCTGGGCCTAGGTGCTGTTCCTCAGCTCTTCAGCTCAAGGCTAGCGCTCTACCACTTGAGTCACAGCGCCACTTCTGGCTTTTTTTTTCTTTTTGCTTATGTGGTGCTGAGGAATCAAACCCAGGGCCTCAGGCATGCAAGGCAAGCGCTCTACCACTGAGCCACCTTCCCAGCCCCTAAATGAGACTTCTTTTGAGGTACACTTTGGTGTTATTCATGCATGCTTTGCTTGTTACTAGGAACATTTTTCTTTGTCAGTCATGGGGCCTGAACTCTGAGCCTGGGCACTGTCCCTCAGCTATTTAGATCAAGGCTAGCACTCTACCACTTGAGCCATAGCACCACTTCTGGCTTTTTCTGCTTATGTGGTGCTGAGGAATTGAACCCAGGGCCTCATGCATGCAAGGCAAGCACTCTACCACTGAGCCACCTTCCCAGCCCGGGAACATTTTTTTGTGTGCATTAGAACTGGGGCTTTAACTTAGGCTTTGTACTCTTGCTTGGCTTTTTCATTAAGGCTGGTGCTCTACCACTTGAGACACAGCTTCACTTGCAGCTTTTTGCTGGTTAATTGGAGATAAGAATCTCCAGGACTTTCATGCCTCGTCTGGCTTCGAACCTTGGTCCTCAGATCTCAGCCTCCTGAGTAGCTAGATTATAGGCATGAACCACCACAGTGCTCAGCTTTATTTAAAATAATTTAGATAAAATGATTCCTCGGGACACCAGATGTGATACTTTGTTAGAACTATTGTCCGTGATGGTAGATAATAGTAAACAAGTGGCAGGCTTGTGACCAGAGCCAGAGGCTGACCATTTTGGTCCACAACTGTGGGCTTTCATAGCAGCAGGGCCGATAAAGATGAGGAGGCTCAGCTCAGCTGCTTGAGGTAGAGCTTAAGAGGCTTGAGGGGCAGAGCTAAGGGGATATTGGAGTTATCAGGGTCCCCAACCCCAAATTTACCATCCAGCCTAAGAGACACATGCTACAGTATGGTCAAGAACAGACCCTGAGGAGGGCAATGGAGGAGAGCCCTATGTCAGTCCCCATCCCGCCCTCCTCGCCTGTCTGTCTCTCCGATCCCTGGGCAGCCCCTGACTGGCTGTGCTGTCTCTCTCCCTGCCAGGGTGCTGTGTGGAACTGCTGCTGCTGCTGCTGGCTGGGGAGCTACCCCTGGGTGGCGGCTGCCCACGGGACTGTGTGTGCTACCCAGCGCCCATGACTGTCAGTTGCCAGGCGCACAACTTTGCCGCCATCCCAGAAGGCATCCCTGAAGAGAGCGAGCGCATCTTCCTCCAGAACAATCGCATCACCCTCTTGCAGCAAGGCCATTTCAGTCCCGCCATGGTCACCCTGTGGATCTACTCCAACAACATCACCTACATTGATCCCAACACCTTTGAGGGCTTTGTTCACCTAGAGGAACTGGACCTCGGTGACAACCGGCAGCTGCGGACGCTGGCACCTGAGACATTCCAAGGCCTGGTGAAACTTCATGCCCTCTACCTCTATAAGTGTGGGCTTAGTGCCCTGCCTGCGGGCATCTTTGGTGGCTTGCACAGCCTGCAGTACCTCTACTTGCAGGAAAACCACATTGAGTACCTCCAGGATGACATCTTTGTGGACCTGGTCAACCTCAGCCACTTGTTTCTCCATGGCAATAAGCTGTGGAGCCTAGGCCAGGGTCCCTTCCGGGGCCTGGTCAACCTGGATCGGCTACTGTTGCATGAGAACCAGCTGCAGTGGGTCCACCACAAAGCTTTCCACGATCTTCATAGGCTGACCACTCTATTCCTCTTCAACAACAGCCTCTCAGAGCTGCAAGGTGAATGCCTGGCCCCCCTGGCAGCCCTGGAGTTCCTTCGCCTCAATGGGAACGCCTGGGACTGTGGCTGCCGGGCTCGATCCCTGTGGGAATGGCTGCGGAGATTCCGAGGCTCCAGCTCTGCTGTCCCCTGTGCCACCCCCGAGCTGAGGCAAGGCCAGGACCTGAAGCTGCTGAGGGCCGAGGACTTCCGGAACTGCACAGGGCCAGCATCGCCACACCAGATCAAGTCGCACACACTCACCACCACTGACAGAGCTGCTCGCAAAGAGCACCTCCCCCATGGCCCCACCAGAGACAGGGGCCATCCTCATGGCCATCTTCCCGGTTCCAGGTCAGGCTACAAGAAGCCAGGGAAGAACTGTACCAGCCACAGGAACCGAAACCAGATCTCTAAGATGGGCGCCGGCAAGCAGCCCCACGAGCTGCAGGACTATGCCCCCGACTACCAGCACAAGTTTGGCTTTGATCTCATGCCCACAGCACGGCCCAAAAGGAAGGGCAAATGTGCCCGCAGGACCCTCATCCGTGCCCCCAGTGGGGTGCAGCAGGCCTCCTCAGGCACTTCCCTAGGGACCTCACTCCTGGCTTGGATACTGGGGCTGGCGGTTACTCTTCGCTGAGGGCCCAGGGTACCAGCACCCGGCACTGCCACATGTCCAGCAAGGAACAGCATTTCTTTTCTTTTCTTTTTTTTCACAAGTGGAGGATCTGCTGGGTTTCAGGAAAAGGCTGATAGAGCCTTCAGCTGCTATCTGGACCCTACCCGGTGGATTATAAACCCCAGTGTACAGCCCTAGACGGGAGGGGATTAGCACACCTCACCCAGCTGCCCCAGCCAGCCTCAGCCAAGCACCCATGGACAGTGTCTGCTCCAACATGGCACGTGAAGTGAATCCTTCATTAGCAGTGATGGGACAAGCTCCTCTCTTGGGAGCTGGGCTCTGTGGAATCCTGATCATTTGAGAGATCATCGAAAGGGACCCACTGTTCTTGGAGGAAGCAGGACTCAGAACAAACAAGGCTCACCCAGAGCCAGCTGGGTCGACCAGCAGTCTGGGAACACTCAAGCAGGTGGCATCTTGGCCCTTTCCTGAGGCCATTTAATTGACTTGCCCTGAATCTAGCGCTATGTCACCTTCAACCCCTCCCTCAGGGAGGAAGGGGGAACACCTCTCATTCCTGATGTCTCAGGCAACCCTGGCAGACCCAGGTTCACCTGCTGGGGTCCAAGAACCAATTACCAAAGGAAAGATCATCAGAGGCTGAAATTTAGAACCTTATCACATGCAATGAGATTCTCACAGAAGGTGCAGTTTTATACCTATGTCCACTTATATATATATATATATATATACACACTCCACATCTATCTATATATATATACATACAAAATGCACAGGTTCCCTGCCCCTCCCCCAGCCACTCTGTTACCAAATTGTATGTCTTATCATCATGTTTATAAGCTATATGGATTGTACTGGTGATTTCTAGCAAGAAATAAGTTATAGAATTTTTGCCTAGAATCCCAGCCTGGCAACAATAGTCCCTATGTAAGCTGGGCTTATCAGGGCTAGGGGCAAGATAACAATGATAAGGGTTAGGGAGAAAGGGAGGCAGTGAGAATCACTTCAGGGGACCAATATTCTTAGACATTTAGAACATCACCTTGTTTTTATATGCAAACACAAGCCTGTCTGGCGCCCTGAAGCACCCCATCACCCCTACTATGGAAGCTGTGGGAGTCAGGATGACACGTGGGAAGCAGTGTGTTGGATGTCAGGGAGCCAGGTGCTGGGAGCCATCTAGACAGAAGGAGAGGGATGGGGCTTGGGGGTTTGTAAGCCAGCAGGCAGGGCAGCATCCACAGTGTTAGTCCAACAGGTTGGACAGTGTCTTCAATCTAGCATTTTGCAAGTGATGGTCAAGACAGGCCAGATGATTAACTGGAAGCGCAGGCTGGGAGCACGGCTCAGCTGCTGAGTTTTACCCTGAGGCTCTCTGGTGGGTGACCTGGCAAGGGCCCTGTGTAGCTTGGTAGGAGGGCACCAGGAGGTGGCCTTCACAGCAGGAAAATGACGAGGGCTTTCCAAGAACCATCTCCTGCATTATGGAAGCCTCCTCTCCTCTGACTCCTCTGGATATGGCTGGGAACAGGCAGAGGTCAGAGGCCTAAACTCGGAGGTCAGGCGCTGGGACAGGTCGCCTGCAGGGAGCTGAACAGATAAGCCCCGTCAGGTGAGAGGGGCTGCTGGCCAGGGGCCCAGGCAAGCACAGTCCCGTTTTGCGCTTTGCACAAACTTGAGTTCCCCGCCAGAGAGAATGTGTGTGAGGAGTGAGAAATGCTGAATCCAATTAAGAGAGAAAAATAATAATAAATTTTTTTTTTCTTGGACAAGAACCTGTTTTTCATTTCCTAACCCCGCATTCCTGATGGGTGGCAGATCTTGGGCTTTGGTGGGGTGGGCGAGCCTGGCCAGGCACAGATCTAAGAACACAGCATACTTGTTGGCAGAAGGAACCATAGCGGGCAGGGGCACTGTGACTCACAGGGACTCACAAGAGCAGGTACGTATGCGTGCGCACACGCGCATGTGCATGTGCACGCGCGCGCGCACACACACACACACACACACACACACACACACACACAACTTGTTCTCTCTTCCATCCATCTTCTCTTGCCTGCAACAGAATATGATTCACTTCCCACATTCTGGCTGTACTGGGTCGACATATCTCTATCTCCAGAGCAGACTGGTCCTGGATCTTTCCTGGTCTGTTCCCATGAGCCTCAGCAGCAGCTGCTGAGGTATTGATTCTCAGGAGGCTGGAAGGGAACAGCCAGTTCCTGGGGCCTAGTGTTTTCCAGGAAGCCAGGGACTGCCTGGGACAGCAGCAGACAGACCCTGGAGGCTGTGTCTGCCTCTCTGGTAGTGAAACTGGCCAAAAGTTGAGGACTGATTTCACCATCAAGCTCTGGACATTCACCAGAGGGAATCTAGTGACAGCAGGACAAAACATCTTAGACTTGCAGTGGCTTCCAGCAGTCCTCTTCCTCTGACCCAGACCAGTGCCCCGGCATAGTGATCCCTTAGAATCAAGGAGGTTGTTAGGTTGTTGATTTCATTTCCAACCTCAGACAGCAAAGCCCTCAGTGGGAAAATCAAAAGTTTAAGTAGTTTATTAAATTCTTTTTAAAGACTTAGTAAGTCCTATACCATAGAAGTAAAATGTCAGGAGGAAAAATGTTAATGTCTCATAAAGCCTCTGTTTCTGTCCACTTCAGCACAGTCTCTGACTGCCCACTGTCATTACAGGCCCATCAGCAGGGCCCTGGGTGCTGAGTGTATTTTTAGTAGATTTCTCCTTTAGGAGGGAGGAAGCATGAAGGCAGCTCTGTTGAAGATGACATCACTTGTCACTCAGCAGCTCCTAGGCCAAGCAGTTATGATGACACCATTGCCTAAACATAAAAGCAAGGTGACAAATCAGGTTTACTTGAAGCTGCTCTTTACCAGATCTAGCTGCCCCTGAGTCATCGGAGAGCAGGGTACTCAGATTAGAACAATGTGTACCCTGTCATCCTGGGGTTCGAAGTCACCTGTCTGCTCTTACTGAGACCTGTGCTCTGCCATCTTGGCTCAAGACTTTTTGGCTAATTATAATTCTTCTTTTTAACTGTTTGTTTTGAGGGGAAGACTGGGGTTTGGACTTAAGGCCCTGTGACTGTTAGACAAGTGATTTACCACTTGAACCATTCCTCTAGCCCAACTTAATACTTTTTGAGAGTCCCAGAAAGAATCTTCCCTCCCTTATCCTCTTCCTTTCCCTCCCAGCAAGCAGTCCTCTGTCTAGGATGGTGGGGATGCAGGGAACCCAGAGGGAGGTTCTGGCTGGCCCTTGGTGGTCTCACTCCACACAAGCTCCTCCCACGACCCCAGAACTTGGCTTGGATCTCTACTGTGTGTTCCACAAATACTGGTCAAAGGCCTCCATGTAACATGACTCTAAAAGTTGCTCAGAGCTTAGATGTGGGACAAGTATCCCTTCCTTTCTTTTTTTCCCCTTTGGCAGTACTAGTGTTTGAACTCAAGGACTCAAATTTGCTAGGCAGGAGCTCTGTTGCTTGAACCATACCCACAGCCTTTTATTTTTGCCTTAGTTATTTTCCAAGTAATGTCTTGCCTTTGTCCAGGGCCAGCCTCAGATTGCCTATCTCTGCCTCCACCTAGCTCAGATTATAGGCTTGCACCACCATGTCTGGAAGGTACTCATGTTTCTAGTATAGGACTAAAGTCTGTATTACCACTCTCCCCTCTCTAAAATGAGGAAGTTGTTGGGTTTGGGGGAGTCAGAGGATTTCCAGGAGGTAACACCTCTCTGGTCTCTGCAGATGAAGAGTGGGTCAGAGAAGAGCACAGAGAGGATACCAGGAGAGAGCTGGAGGCTCTCACTAGCAGAGGCCTCCAGGGTGTCTAAAAGCAGCAGCCAGCTGAGACTAAGCACAGTATTTGCTGGGGTTTTGGGAGACTAGCCTGGCAATGGGGAAGCCCAAGTCCCACTCAGAAACTTGGACTCTGTCTTGGAAGTAGAAGGAATGTGTGGTTCTGCCGTTTGAGCTCTTCCCACCCCCACACGCCCAGCCTTTCTACAAGCACATGGCCCCCCTGGTGGCACCCTTAACCAATATCCCTCAACAGAGGGTTTCATCATTGCCACTTGCCTCCTGTTCTCAGCCAAATCCTCCATGCCAGCAAGCTGGAGCGCTTGCTGGAAATCTGCCTGGGCCAGAGTCCCATTCCCAGACACCTGCTGCTTCCAAGCTCCGAATGCATTCCATAATCATTTAGTCTTTGCAGCCTCCCGGCTTCCCCCATCCCCTGGCCATTTCCACACGTGACTGCTCCTCGGGAATCTGCAGGACTGCTCCCCTGAACTCCGTCTTCACCCCTCCCCCTCCTGCCAGGCTCAATCATTACCAGGGAGCCAGAATCCCACTTAGCAAATGTTTACTCCACCTAGCTAATCACTCAGCACTCCACAGCCCATAAGAGCCCCCTGGAAGCCTGAGCTCAGCTCTGAGGATGCTGGGGGGCCAGGAAGGCTTCTCCGAGGATGAAGATGGGCTGCAGGGCCTAGGCTCAGAGAGAATGAGTGTGTTGGGCAGAGAGTTGGAAATCCTTGGCAAATTCTCCTTTGTGATAGCGCATATGATACCATGTGCCCAGGCTGTCTTCATCTATTCCCCTGGACTCCCCAAGGCCCTCCCAAATGTTGACCTGGAAGGAATCATTCTTTTTTCCGTGTGTGTGTGTGTGTGTGTGTGTGTGTGCGTGTGTGTGAGTCTTGGGGCTTGAACTCTCAGCCTGGGCACTGTCTCTGAGCTCTTGAGGCTAGTGCTCTACCACTTGAGTCACAGCTCCACTTCTAGCTTTTTGTGGTTAATTGGAGATAAGAGTCTCCTGGACTTTTCTACCTGAGCTGGCTTTCAACTGTGATCCTCAGATCTCAGCCTCCTGAGGAGCTAGGATTACAGGTGTGAGCCACTGATGCCCAGCTAGGAGACATTCTTTATTTGTGTACATTGACACAGAGTTTCACTACGTAGTTCAGACTGGCCTAAAACTGATCCTCCTGCCTCTCCCTCCTGAGTGCTGAGATTACAGATGGGCCCTACCATGCCTGGGTTGTCTGTGTATATTCGTGGATGAAGGAAGGATGGATGCACATTTGGACAGTTCCATCTACCACCTCTTGAAGTGTCCTGACCTGGCCACAGCTGCATTCAGGTTCAACAGCCCCAGCCTGCTTTCTAGCTTCCTTTAAGCAGGATTTTAAAGGCGCCATCACTCCATCCCATGCCACCAGTCCCCCACTATCAGCTTGTAATGGGCCAATTTTCTTTTGCCTTCTGTCTACTCCGAAAAATATCTCAAGAACCTTTGACTGTGTGTTATAATATCCTTTACAAATCCATGCTTCATATCTCTTTCTGCTCCACTAATTGTCCCTTTTAACTCACTATGCTTCCTGTATAAATCTCCCGGTCTCCCCCTTTACAGGCTGTTAATAAATACGAGCTCTAACAAAATATACATAAACATCCATTGTTGGCTAAATAACTCACAACACAATTAAAAAGCCAGAAAAGGAAAAGAAAGAGGTTCTGCAAAACCGAATGCTCACCCCTTGAGTTCCCCTCGCCTTCCGGAAGAAGGCTCTAGAATCAGGGTAGTTTGTGGCCCTACAAAGGCCAGTGGGGGCAGGTAGCAATGATGCCCCAGGAGACAAAGAAGTGAGGGGGAGAAGGAGAAGCTGCAGGGCATATGAACGGGGCTTCCTGCAGGAGCAAGGAGGGGTGGGGACAAAGGAGACCCGATGTGGGGAGTGGCAGCGAGGTTAAGCGGGATTTCAATGAGTCCCTTACCTCCAAAAAAAGTGGGTCAGCCTTCTCCAACACATAGAGCCAGCCCGCACTGCTGTGGCCCACCCCCCACCTCTCTCCTTTCAGCTCTCATTTCTCATTAGAGCCGTTAGTCTCTAAGCACTGAGAGGGTGGGGCAGGCTGTGCCTTTGTGTCACTGGTTTCTATATGGCAGTGTGCACACTAATGGCATGCCTGAATGGCAGAATTTGACTTTGCTGCTACAAAATGTGCTCGGGTCACAGTGCTTTCCAAATTGGCTGAGGTTCCATACCACCCCCTGCTCCTTTACCCTAGCAGCTTGCTGCCCCTGCCAGCCTCAGCTTCTGCTGCTCCCTCCGAGGGGCTCCGACAAGAGAGGAAGCAAGACGTGTATTAAACTCTTCAATCTCTGTAAGTACCATTCCCCAGGAGACCTACTCGGAAGCAAAAGGCAATGCCAGTGCTCAGGACCTAAATATGCAGGAGGTGATGGGAGCTTAGAGCCTCTGTGTCACCTCCCCTTGTCCCTCTGCTCAGAGGTCAGTCATGGGCAAGACAACGATGTTCTCTGTGTGGTGGCACCCAGGGGGTTGCTTACTGCTCCAGCCAGAGAGACCCCCACGGATCATCACTAAAGAAGATTTTCTCCATGATGAGGGACCAGCTGGTCACAGCCATGGGCACTGGATGGGCATGGGAAGGTGGTCTCTGAGCAAGACGTGCACAGTGATACTGCAGAGAGTCAGTGCAGCTCCATGGGGGCAGTTGTATGGATAAATGAGAGGCAAGGAATGATGGAGACAGATAGGAGGGCACCACACAGAGAGAAGCATTTTGTACATGCACGTGTATACATACACACATACACATATACACACACAGAGGCATTGCCTCCTATCCATTCTCCCTCATGCAGCTGAGTGAGGGACATTCATGAAGATAATAGATCTGA